TTGTCTGTCTGTCTCGTTTCCGCAGGAAAATGTGTCATTTCTGAGAAAAAATACAATAACTGCAATGTAAGAGTATACCAATATGTAAAACCTAAGAATTTGGTTTTTGGTCATCTAAACGCGAGCGGAGCCGCGGGCAATGCTAGTTAATACACTAACGTTTTAAAAATGTTTAACAATCCTTAGTATGCTTACATTGTTTAACAAAGTCTCTTTTATATAAAAATTAACAAGTGCTATAATTAGAAACCAAACGAATGTTATGTTAATGTTGACACTACTATGTTAACCAAATTCCAAAAAGGATTTGAAATACTTGTTTTCTTTTACTTGAAATCTGTCTTCAATAGGAGGATTATATCTGACATTTCCAAAGAAACTTGAGCAAAATCTTTAATTCTGTAATATCTCCTTTAGTTTAAGCGCTGCATAATATATAATTATTTACTTTGTAAGCCTTGAACAAATCATTATCATTAAATGAGAGTTCGACATGCGGCTAGGTCAAGGCGTGTAAGTCGTTGGCATCATACCAGATGGGTGGCTACTGGCAAATAATTAGAATTCGATATGTATTTCAAACCTAGCATAACAATCACATCAACTCATGTACCTATTTTCTTTGTTGTCCAAATCGCAATTGGTACAAAGCTGTGAAAGTGAAGAAAATGTTTGACATAAACATCGAATAAAATCAACAACTAAATAAAGGTCCAACATCTAAATGAATCGAAAACGATAGTTTTTTAGATGCAATGTTTGTGACACGTATCCATTTAACGTGGGTCAGTGTGGCACTACCTAAAACGGCCAATTAAGTTCACAAGTTCGAAACAAGCTGAACTTAACAGATTAGAAATCTATATATATATATATATATATATATATATATATATATATATATATATATATATATATATATATATATATATATGTAAAGTTATAAAGTGTGGTATAACTTTGTTGAGTACGTATATCTCATCTTCAAAGGTCAGGACCAAAAACGTGAATGAATACAGAGTACAAAAAAGATTTAAAAAATATTTACTTTTATACAAATATATTAATATAATATTAACATATGAATGAAATGAACTAATAACCTTCACTCTAAAGTCGGAAGTTCGCGAAATAACATCATAAAATAAGACCGGGAAGTCAAATACCAGTATGATATCATCAATTCCTACAAATGGAAGTGGATATTTTGAGAATGGCATTCCTTCTAAGAAAACCGGAATTTTGGCGAGCTTCACAATTGCCTCGGGCACGCCACGTGGCTGAAGTCCTGAATTTTGACTCATCCTCGACATTTGTTTATGCCACTGAAAAGATATGTCACGAATGCAATCTCCATTGAATTGTATCCGTTGTGGAAAACAAAATTTTCTCTTGTGATTCATTCATTTCAATATATAGATAAATAGTAAATATCGGTGCAATATTTCACTACAATCACATGAAATAAATTAAAAGACTTTAATTTCGCATTTAAATCAGAATGCATGATGTAAATATATTTTTGTTTGAAATCAAAAGAGATACGTGAAAAGCGAAATATTTCATCGGTCAAGATCACGATTTTCATAATGCAGTGCTGCTCGTAAAATAGTACCGTGTGCAATTTTGAATTGAGATTACAAAATACATATTAAACGTGTACGTACATTAACTTATTTGACGACGCCGAAGCTCAAACAACCTTTGAATAATTATACTAATAAGAGAATATATTAATATAGAAAAATTGTAAAGAATAAATTGTAAATCTATTTGTCGAGCCCGTACAACTGTAAATCGTGCATACATACGGTGTACACTGTGAAGGTGAACCAGCTCAAAAGCAAATGCTTTGCCAACTTTATATTTTTACTTTTAATTGTCCTATCATTAAACTTCGAATTTTCTTCTTAAAACTATATAAGCTACAAATCTCACCAATACTATATATTATTACTTACTATTCTTAATATACATGTTTAATATACAACGTTTGTTTGTTTGTTTTTCTTTCACGTCAAAACAGGGTGATGGATTGGTGTGATTTTTTTATATGGAGATTGTTAGAGGGCTGGAGAGTATGATAGACTACTTTTTACCGTGTGCGATTATCTCATTCCCACAGGAAAACACGTTATAATACAACCCAAAAAAAAAATTATGATCAGAATTACTTGAAACTTGGTATTAACGCTCTTCAATACGATTATCAATTAAATAAATACGTGTTTTAACATTTTTCGAAATTCATCCCATGAGGGGGTAAAATGGGGGCTGAGAGTTTGTTTGAAACCTACCTATTTAGATTTATTTTTTGTAGTTTTAGCGCGAGCAAAGCCACGGGTTCTGCTAGTACTATATATATATATATACACACACAACAATATAACACAGATAATACAGAGACCAACGTGGGCAAAATTGGACTACACTATACCTAACGCTTATCAAAAAAACAATCTACGCAACCTTAACCCAGATAGAGCCTGAGCGCAATAAATAACAACTAACTCAATTCAAAACCCATTAAATTATTTGGAAGTAACGCACTATAATGTTTCCGATATAAATGGATTTCATCAGAATTCACTTGATAACAAACTAATATCGACAGGAAACAATATAGCAATGATAGAATGTAGGTACTTAGATCACCTGTTAGTTATAACTTGGATGTTTGTGCGTAAAACCTGAAGGTGAACCGGGTGGGTTGACGGCTTGCCAACCGAGTGCGCCGAAATAATAACAAGAAAATTTCGCATTCGACCACTCCGAACAGCATACTCGCTCAATGTTTATTTGCTTTTACCGAAAGGAGGTGCAGGTATCGTTATTTTATAAAGAAACTCTTATATATTTAGATCGGGTTGGGAGTTTTATGCTTACGCTTGGACGTAATGGGCCAGCCAAAGATAGCTGATACTAAAATCAATATATGTTTGAGATTATAAGAACGATGTTTATAATATTTTATAGTATATAATTTAAATCTATTTCAGGTTATACGTTTGAACAAAGAGCATTAAATTACTAAATAGGTGATCAATTAACATACAGTTACTAATATTTGACGACATGTTTGGCTCAGTTTGTAGTGACCCTACTTGCTGTGCCAGGCGGTCGCGGGTTCGAGTCCCGTTGGGGGCATTCATTTGTGTGATGAGCACGAATGTTTGTACTCTAGTCATGGGTGTTTATATTTATAATATGTATGTATTTTATGTATATATATATATATATGTGTGTGTGTGTGTGTGTGTGTGTGTGTGTGTGTGTGTGTGTGTGTGTGTGTGTGTGTGTGTGTGTGTGTGTGTGTGTGTGTGTGTGTGTGTGTGTGTGTGTGTGTGTGTGTGTGTGTGTGTGTGTAGTGTATCAACTATTTGGTATCCGTAACACAAGCCTTGTAGCTTACCATGGAACTAGATGGCGCTGTGTCTTAATGTATTATTTATATGTACCTACCTACAATAGGTAATTTCAGAAACTATGATCGCAGTAAAATTCATAATAATTTACTAATATCATACAACTAAAGAGATTGTTTTCTTGTTTAATATTTGATAGCGCTAATCTATAAAAATACCAGTTATATTTGAAAATTCCTAACTTATTTATTGAGGAGGGTTAAACGGTTGTATGTTTAAGTAACGGAGCATTTATATAAAGCCTACTAGAGTAGTCACGGGCAAAAGCTAATATTATACCATAATGTAACAGAAACATAAGTAAGTACGTACGTTTATTATACATTTTTCAGAGATGAGATATTTTCCTGTAGTAAAAAGTATACTATATGTTGACCCGGATAACCAGCTATCATCATACTAAATTTCATCAAAATCTGACCAGTAGTTTTCTCGTGATGCGTTCCCAGACAGACAGACCAACAAAAAATCTAATAACCATAGATTCGACCTCTGTATGAATAATAATGACTATTTCAATAAGATTTTCCAAAAAATATTTAATGTACACATTCGACTCAGAATTTTATTATATGTACATATATAGAGATGACAAATCAACATGTATCGAGTTTTAGGAGTAGATATTAGGTATTTCAATACTATTGTATGACAGCATAAGCATAGAAAATGTCGCAATAATTAAAAAACAATAACAAGAGTAGTGGCAATTTTCATTAACAGCTGTATAATCACCGGGCCATTGTTAGCTGCGGCTAATTGAGATGCGAGAGACGCCCCGATTGATGCGCGCACGTTGATGTCGAACGCAAGGACTCGTCGAGCGATCGCCCAAACATATCCTAACCGCGTCGAATTGTGCTACGTTACATTTAAATGCACGTAGTTTTTAGATTAAATAAATACGGTCATTTTTAACATTTGAATGGTTTTTTTTTTAAGTTTACCAAAAACAGGTTGTTTTAATAAGATTGCTCAAGAATGCTGATATCTTTCACAATTTATTTATTCGAGATTCGCTTTATTTACATAAAATATGTTTACAAAACACATATTGACAATTAATATTTTTAAGAAAGATGAATATTACCTAACAAAACTCTAATATAAATCCGGCATGCTCTCGCATGATACCTGTTTGGACGTAATTTCTTTTTAAGTTTTCAGTCACGTACACACGTTAGTCAAGGACCATATGCACACAACTGAAATAAAAACTCTAGAATGTTTGCAATGGCAGGTCAAATTTCCACTGTAGTGCTAATTTGAAACATATAAAATACATATGTGAAATTTACAACAAGTATTTAAAAAAAAAATTATATTTATTTTCTTATCAACATAGGCCACCTGAATGAACGGTCGACCTTCGTGAGATGAACAACGTCACTCGTTATCAGGGTGCGCGAAAAGTCACAAACATTGGGCGGCGCCGAACAAACCAAACTCACGTGACCTTCAAGAGATATTAAGCGCCCGATTGGTGAGATAGCGTTTTTGAATAGAAAATTCGTATCTACCGAGAGAGAGTTGCTAACCTTGCGATGACGAATTGCATAATAAAAGATCACTGACCTGCGTAACCATGTCCCAGTAGAATCCGTCGAGCATAGACTTGCCATGTTGGTGTTGTCTACAGAGGGCGGGCCAGAGGGCAGCGCGGATAGAGCTGTTGATGGGCCAGGAGTTCTCCCTGATGAAGAGCTTGAGCTCGCGTTTGCGGCCCTGCTGTAGGAGGGGCTGGAGTTCCTCGAAGGTCTTGAGGGGTGCCTTCTTGCCTGCGAAAAACGGTGAAGGTAAGCACTGCGTCCAGATACCGGATTCGGTTGGCGCGAGAGACTCTGCGCTCTGTGCGCGGAACGCGGCCGGTTCTATGTACATATCGGAGGCGCGGGGCACATGCTTTCGGTGCGCGCGCGCCTGCGGCACTGTCGGCCGCAAGCTTTGACAGCCTCCGGAAAATGCGATAGCGCGCCCCGACGCTATTACACATAGAATGTTTATCTGACCGTGCGGCCTTCGCGCCGGTCGATTAGACCGCTAACTGCGGCAAAAAAATTAAGTGGAAGTTTAAAATATAGCTTTCATCTACTCGTCTTATTATGTAGCTAATACATTTTGTAAATCCGTAACTGTAGATTACGTTACATCTATAAAATAAAAAATTTAGATACCTATTTGAATATTTTACATTTCCCAAAAATTAGATATAAGCTCCATGTGCCTTGGTAAAAATAGACGTTGAGATATAAACGAATTAGAATTGGATAAAAGCCAAAGTACTCTTCGTCATGTAGATTTATCCACTAACAATGACAACAATAGTAATGCAGTTCTAAAATGTATTAATATAAATAATAAATAGATCCAGATATAGGAACTCAAAATAGAAGTCGATATCTCTTGGATATCTAAGGAATTCACTATAAAGTAACGCCTCGTGACCATAGACTAAAGAGCTAAGAGGCTTCAAATCATGAGGTTGAAGGCATCGAAGAATAATACTCTATAACTTATAAAAAAGCTCTCAATAATGTACTTTCACAATACATAAATATTTACGTAAAAGCTTTGAATAAATTATTTGGAAGTTAATATAATTTCTTTTACTAAAATCGTTTAAGATCTTACACGATTATGAATGATTGAAGTCTGATATGCTGCATTGAATTGGAACTTAATAAATTTTTATATCATAAACAAATGATTAAAGAATAAAGATACAAATTATTCATTGTAGAAGGTGTTTTATTTATAAGTAATGAGATTATTCTAATAATATACAAAGTTATGTTATTTTTAAATATAAAGAACACCTAAGTTTTTTAGTCTTTCTGAACATAGTTTTTTACTCTTCATTACATTTAGTAAAAACGATTACTAAAAGAATTCTTTAGAAAAGTGATAGTGTCTCACCTTAAATTCATTATGTTTATAACTTATTTCATTGACAATTTAGAAGATTTAGTAATATACAATTTTTTTCAACTAAAAAAAAGTAAATTTAACTAAAGGGATCAACTATCTGGCACTATATTAACCAGTACAATACAATCAATACTTATTTATTTATCTATACATATAATAAAATTGTAACTAAGCCGAATCTGTACATAAAATATTTTATTGTAAAATCTTATTGAAATAGACATTATTATCGATACAGAGGCCGAATCCGTAGTTTTTAGAATTTTTGTCTGTCTATCTGCCTGTCTGTTACCGCATCACGGAAAAGCCACTGGAGGGATTTTGATGAAATTTAGTATGACGTTAGCTGGTTATCCGGCTCAACATATAGGATACTTTTTACCGCGGCAAAATAAAATAAATAAATAAAAATACGCAATGTAAGAGTATACTAATATGTAAAACCTAAGAATTTGGTTTTTGGTCATCTGAACGCGGGCGGAACCGCGGGCAATGCTAGTGATATTAATAAAAGTAAAAAAAAAACAAGTCAACGCTTATCAGACACGCCGTCTTCAACCCAAGCATTGAAGTGTTAAGTAGCACCACAACTGATAACAAGGTTATCATGCTTCAGTCTCGGCGATTAGTTAAATTTAAATTCTCTTTGTTTATTTATAATTAGATTTGACATTTATTTCGAATTGTTATTTAATATGTGCCTGACTAATTAAACTTTGTTAGACTGTTCATTTTATTTCATTTTTTATGATAATAATTGTATACATTGTCAAACATAACAGAAATTTTACTTATAAGCGTGTCTCTTTTAAATTAATAAATATTTTGTTTTGCTTATATAATATTAGTAGCTCAGTATTTATTTTATGCCACCTAAAATTCTAAAGTGAATCAACGTTTCGTCCAATACTTAAATTATTGGACAAAACTAATATTTTACGTTTTTAATTAATAAATATTACTTATAATTATTGATCAAATCAATCAAACAAGTTTTTGATGCCGTACTCTGAGCCCTCGCCGGGGGCTGACATAATTTTTTTTTAATTGCTAACGTTGATTAAGAGTTTATATTATTGGACTGTCAGTCCGATATTTGAGCTGTAATTAAAAAATATTTTCCCTATACAGCTTAAGCCGTAAGGTAAATAAAAGCGATCGTAAAGTAAAATTATATTAAAAAATGTTGCAAGTAAAAAAAAATGATTGCTGAAGAAACTGTTTTTATAATCTTATATTTAATAACAGTTGATAAGGTAATCTCGGGCGCAATAAGTTTAAGCTAAACTTCAACTTATAGATACCAGGGTTTAATAACATTTTTTTTAATATAAAACGAACGATCATTCGATAACGAAGTATTAGAAAAGATATTTCTATTCTAGTCCCTATATCCAATTTTTTCGCTTAAAGTCCAAGAAAAATATCAAAAAAAATGTCTAACATAATAAATATGTTTTTTAACTAAATAACGTTTTTTAAAATAGTATTTTGTCTTTATAAATGTAAAAGTGTGTTTGTTTGTTTGTTTGTTTGTTTGTTTGTCCTTCTTTCACGTTGGAGGGTAGGTATGTATAAGGGGTAGGTATTAGGGGGTAAAATAGGGGATGTAAGTTCGTATGAAACTACCTTATTTAGATATTTTTTATAGTTTTAGCGCGAGCGAAGTCGCGGGTTCTGCTAGTATTATATAATTAAATATGAATTACTGTATCCGAGTGTCTATTTTTTGCTTGATATAGTACCTACGGATTATTTTTTATTGCAATACTTGATAACAGCTACAAAAATAAGATTCTTTTACCGTTATATGTACCGCATAGTTGTATATAAGTACCTACATAAGTTGAACAGTAATCTATTATACTAATATTATAAAGAGGTTTGTGAGTTTGTGAGGCTTTAGGGGGAAATCTCTGGATCTACTGAACCGATTTAGGTGAAATATAGTAGAAGATAGCTTGAGACCCTGGGAAGGACATAGGATAGATAAATATCCTGGAAATCATCCCTCAAGGGGGTGAAAATGGAATTGAAAGTTTGTATGGGGAATCAAACTAGGGATAAACCCGAGCGTTTTAACGATTAGTATGGAATAGACTTATTACATATACATACATAGGTACAAATTTACAGTTCTGAACTTATCGACTTTCAAGCTTTTTTTTGGGTTTGCCCTAGTTCTTTTTATACTTAAACCACCCCTGGCAGACCTCCAACATAATAAAAAAAGAACTATTCAAATCGGTCCAGCAATTTCATATAGTAGGTAAAAATATTATTGACAATTATTTATTTTTCACTCTAAACTTAAGAGAATAATACATTTTTGTTATCATCTAACATAACAAAATTACTAATTATATCTCTAATCTAATGCATCAGGTACTTACAATAAAAAGCTTAACTTTGAATAACAATTTAATCAGAATAACGATGTGTAATAAACAAAAGTAGTTACAACAAATTGTGCAACTTTATATGCATTGAAAATAGTTCTAAAGAGCAGAATAGATCGGTCAGTATATATGTTCTATATATATAAAAATGAATCCCTTTTTCCCTTGGTCACGCCATCACGCGTGAATAGCTGGACCGATTTAACTTTTTTTGTTACGTTTGTCAGGAGAAAGTTCTTACGAAAGAAAAAAATTAAAAAATTGCGCGGTAAATTATAAAATTTTAAGAATACTTATTTAAGAATACTCAACAATCATATTAAAATTTATATGGCTAACACTGGGTAATAACTAGTTATATATATTTAAAACGTACCTAGCGACGAACCCGAGCGAAGCGAGGGTGAGCCGCTAGTAGTATATGAAGGGAACCAAATCTACCATATGTTTTTCCCATGAAATGAGATATGTACATAATACCAGAAACAAAGACAAAAGACACAGACAAATAATGACTCGATTACATCGAATTAATTACCCCTATGATGGAAAATGTTACGTTTATTCAATATATGCCTAGAAAAAGTTCAAGGACTAGAGGCTTTTGAAGCTAGATTGAAAAATGTTAAAAAACGGTGGTGTGTATTTTTTTTCTATTGTTTATAAAATATATTTGTGTTACGCATGCAACCGATGGCGACGAAACTTTGGAGAGTATGCACGTCTACGAATTTTTTTGACAAAGTATTTAGTATAGTATCCTACTATATATATATATATTAATTAACAGTATAATAATATAATAACAATAACAGGTATTTGTACTTGTGTACTTTATAGTTAGAATAAAATATTGAAATTGATTAAAAACTCCGAGATATTTAAATTAGATTTATCTAAATAAATTTGTCAAAAAAAAATCATAATTATTAATTACTTTTAAAGTCAAAATAGAATTTAAATTGAGAAAAATACTGTTTTTATTTATTAAATTATTATTATTCTATATCTTATATATTTTTTTATCGTTTCGCTGCATTTCTCTTTCTGTCCCGCTACTTAACACTATATCCCACATACATGGGTTGACTGGAAGAGATCTCTTATAGAGATAAGTCCACCTTTGTCCACGTCATTTTCTATGTACTTTTTTTTATTACTTGTTTAGTGCAATAAAGAATATATATTATTGAGTTTGTCGAAAGGTAACTAATATAGTTACACAACTAATAATGAACTTATTTAGTTAGACAAACTAATAAATCAATTTGCTATTATTGTGCACATAACAATACCCATATTAAATGCGGAGCTTTACCAGAAATACTTCAGCAGGAAACCTGGCTAACATCCGACATCTAACGAGGGCGCTCGTAAATATTATGGATGGAATTAAATGCACAATCTTATTGCGTTTGCGCATTAAGTCTTTACACAATTTAGAGATGTCA